AAGTGTTGGAAAAGAAGTCTCATAATTTAGCAAAGATTTTTTATTTGTCTTCAATCCCAACTCGCTTAAACTTCAACTTCCTCCCGCCCAAGACGTTGTCACATACCTACAAAATTTTATACACACAACTGACGCTTTAACTCGAGAAGAAAACAAGCAGTTTTCACAGCAGTTTTCTTTTACTGTCCACATTTTCTCTTATTTCTCATTCCAATTCCTTACCACTTATTCTATTATTCCACAGTAATGCATTTGGCAAAAAGACGCCGAGAACATAAAATTTCTTTATGCTTCCTAACATAAAATTCCTTTTTTTTATGGTCCAGTGAGTTCAAAAAAACTTTTGTGCCGGTAGAATACAGTGCCTAACTGCAATGTCTCGCAAATCAGGGCATATCTGAATTATAGAAGACTCTTTCACAGAGACATAAACGGAAATTTCTCTTTCGTCGCTCGCATAAAAACAGTAACTGGCATAAGTGTGAATAAAACAAAGCGACATTTTTCCGAGAATGCTTTTACAAACGCAATTGAAAATGTTCATGAAAAACTGAAAAAAAAAATTTGATTTTGTACGACGCCTAGCACGAACTGATTTTTTTACGATACTCCAAATACCTATTTGCGCAGAAAACCTTGTTTTCATTGTAGAAAAACTACAAGTGCTACATAATCTGTTAAGCGAGTTTGCGACCAGTGAAAAAGAGACTGCATACTAGATTCAAGGAAGATAAAGCACGGAGAGAAAAAACGTATACAACTGCTTTTCGATAAGAGCTACAAAATAGCATTAACTGTAAGTCAGAAATGTTCAGAATGATATTTTTCATCAGTAAAACAACAGGTACCTTTACCTGTCATCGTAAAGTCCAAGCAGTTCGGCATCCAGATCGGCTCCACCATATGCAGTTTCATCATGACTTTCACCAAGTTTTCCCTGCGTTTCAATCAAATCTTCCACTTGCGACACACTCGAGACTGCCTGTGCAGCAACTGCTGCTGGTATTGAAATTTGTGATTCTCTGTACGACTGGTAACTACCATCTGAAAACACATACATTTGTATTTTTCCATAATTCGCCAATTAAAATGAAAATTTTTTCAGGTTCCTATTTTGCCCGGCCCCCGAAACCGTACTATCGCTAAATCTTTTTCACGTTTTCTTCTCGGTGTCCGTACGTGAAACCCGATTATACGCAAACGTAGACATTATGAACGGAAGGTTGCATATAAGATGGGAGAGAATGTTCCAAAAATTTCAGTTTTTCAGCTTCCCTGATCACTGACAATATGCGTTTTTGCATTTGTATAAAAAGAAAATAGACTATGACTGTAGAAAACGAATTTGTAGATAGGTAACTAACGGAAAACCTTGTTAAGAACATTAGATTCAGGAGGAAAGCAAAAAAAGATGAGCCTAACCCTGCGGAACAAAATCCACTAGGTTATGAGGCTTTTCTCGGGTATTTTTGCGCAACACCTTTTAACGCTACAAGGCGATTACCACAAAGTGCAAATGAAGAAAATGCAGTTAAAGTATTGTACTTGATCAGCAAGTGTAACAAAATGACATAGAGAAGCAAACCGGGTCATGACAGTAAATAATAGTACTGAGAGCGAAGGTAATGTCTGAATGTAAAAATTTTCCAGCGTACTAAATGTGTTGATAAACCCGCTTAGTGAGGAAGGCTTTATTGTAAAAGAGGTTTATGAAAAAACAACATCGTAAGCACGGCATCGCCCTCTTCTCTGCAGGTAATTACTAAAGAACTTGAAAACGTGGCCCACAGATTTTCACAGTACCGGGTGATTTTCGGATCCTGTTTGAAGAGGAAGTGCGGGCATCCAAATTCCCTTTTTACGCGCTCTAATGCAGATATTTTGTACAGGAAAAAGTAGGGAGAAGAAAAGAAAAACAAATTAACTGCTATCGAATGAAACTTGAATACCTGCAGATCTGAATTCAGGAAGATTACGAATTGAGCCTGAGTAAAAGATATCGCGTCGATTCATAGGCCTGACGAATTCCTTAGGATTAACGCTGCTCTTAAAAAAAAAGACCTTTTTAGTAATTAAAGAATCAGCAATTAAAACTTTAAAAAAACTTTTCACGAACGACTACCAAAAACAGCACAGAAAAGTTTCGTAAAAAAGAACAAATTTTAAATTTAGAATGAGGATAAACTAACCGCAACAGATAACAGAGACTGGGCACCCTGGATTTGTGCTGTCTGCGACAGTCGACTAATTGACTGTGCATAACTGCGCGCAGATATCCTGCTCAGTGGATTTGCTAAATTACTGCGACTTGTTTTCAGGTCAGTTGCCGATGTCACCTTGCTGTCAACACTGCAACTGCTTTACGTTTGGATATGATGAAAAATCACAGTGACCACTGATTCACCAGAACTTTTTTATCGTCAGTCGCTACACACTCTGTGATCTGTGTACTTCTGTGCTCCGTATTAAACGTGCTAACAAGTAAACCAATACACCTCAAGTTTTTTTTTTGCATTCGATGCTGCTCGATTTGAAAGCCTGCTTTCTTTTTTTTTTTTTTAACTCTACTAGCTGTTCACGTACTACGCCCTTTTCCTTATTTCAATATTTATTAATAAATTGACCCAAATTTTGATGAAATGAGTGTTTTAAAGACTTCCGTCTATTAGGCGGTCACTTTTATGCAATTTCACAAAATATTTATTTGGAAATATTCCTGAACAATGGCGAATGGTAGCTAAACGCAACTGTTCTCCAATCCTTTCTTTTGTACTTATGCCAATTTTTCGGCAGACTACTCAGAACTTAACGAAATTTGTCTTCAGACTACTTGACATTTTTTATAGAGCCATGCAGGTCGGAATAACTTGGATTACTAGAACGATGTCCACTTGATACACACGAAAACTTACAGCCCTCCACAATGTGATACCCTGAACAAAGCCTAAATACGACATTTACTTTATTCAGGTTAGTCGTCTTTTTTTTTTCATTTCATCAGCTAAATAGGTTTGATGCTACCC